AAAAAAAAAAAAAAAAGAAAAAAAAAATCAGTAAAACTGTGACACGGGAGCCAGGAAAGGCTCTGATGGGGAAACAAAGGCCAGGTTGATACAAATGACACCCTGCTCTGAGAAAGCATGAGCCAGATTTGGGACCTATCATTTCTTCCTCTTCAACCCTTATAGAACTGGAGTGTCTTGACCAGTATGACTCCGTGGCAATGAGCACAAAGCCACACATCTGTACAGCAGCTGATCAGACACCAACTAATCACCACAGCTCAGTGATACAGTGGTTCCATGTGCTGACTGACCTCCACCTCCCAGGCTCTGCAGCCATCACCATAGCTACGGCTCTTCACATCAGCTTCACAAGAAGTCCTTCCCTTCCTAAAAGCTACTTGGAAATAGTCACCCATAAAATAGAGTATTTAAGGAAAGCAAAACAGAACAGCGTCACCTTGCTCTTCTGAGTCTTGTTTCCAACTGTGAGCAGGACAAACGAGGAAGGTTCTCGTTCCATCTTCTGTCATTTAATATAGGGAAAAAAGAATAAATCAGAAAAAAATGAGAAATTTATAGTTTACAGAAAGCTATATCACACCACTACTGTTACTTGAAATGAGTTGCTGGAAAGCTGACCATATTTTTCAGATGTAGGACATCTGAAGGGTGCAGTACACAGGAAAGCCTCCAGCCATAACACAGCACAGTCTTTACCATCAAGAGTACACATTTAAGCCAAAGTTTTATGTACTTAGGTTTCAATAGGTGAGCAGTTAAAAAATTGTCAGAAACTGGGAGGAAACAGAGAAGAGAGCTGAAGGTTCAGTGGGAAGTCTTCATCATTCCTGAATGAAACAGGACTTTCAGAATTGGTTTCCAAGGCTCAGGACTTGCAGGTAGAAGCAAGTCTTTGGCATCAAGTAACAATTCCTTTCCAGAAGTAACAATACTGAACCTCTTGTACTGTGCTTCTCTGCACTAATGCTACAGAAGTCAAGGCTGAGGAACTGGTCTTGGCACAACACTGCATACAAAGCACTCACAATTAGGTTCAGAATTAAGTGCTAGTAACTCAGTTGTAAAGATGGTACTTAGGAGAGGAGCTACTTGGACAGAATGGGAAGTTTTATCCATAGCTCAGAGCTGTGACTGTGTGTAACTTGTTCAAGAAAAAAGGGAGAAAGACATTCTTCCCTATACCCACCATTTACATCACAGTAGCAAAATATAGTGTTTTGGGGGGAAAGTAAACAGAAGCTATGAGAGTGGAGGCAGGAATGAGAGACGCTTCTGAATCCCTCTAAAACCAAGGGGGGAGGAATTTGGTGTTCAGGTCTCCAGTGAACAGGAAGGTTACCACAAACAAGCATATTCCTCCCACCCCAATGTCAAGCTGGAACAGCTCAGCATGGGAAGAATCTCTGCAACAGCAGAAAGGTTATCATGACCTAATCTGATGTCTGCAGACTCTCTGTCCAAAGCATAAAAGTATAAACAACCACAGGCACAATCAAAAATTTCTGTGTTGCATTCTCACTTGGATCTCCTAGACTTTTACTGGGGCAGGGGTGGCCTTTCAGTGAATATTTTGAACCCCTGGTCACTTAGATTCTGGCAGTGGAGAGGTTATTTCTCTTTAAACACAGCCAGTTTCAGTTGCTACAATGCCCCATAATCCAGAACATTGTTTTGCAAGCACGGGAGGAAAATATAAATTTTACCTTGAGGTACTTGTTATTTTTGATCTTCTTTGCTCCACATTCACCATTCGAATATTCGAAGTGGTTTTTCTGAATTAGTGAAAGAGTATTTAAAATAATTAGTTTGTGGTCTTAAAAAGAGAAGGTTAGGAGTGAAGGCTGCTGCATGTGGTTTGTACTTACTGGAAGGTTGAAGGCGCTGTCCAAGTAGACTATCAGAATTGCTGTAGACAGACCCTTCTTATCCTGCAAAGGCCAGGAAAGATAAGCCAAAACAAAACACAAGGTAGGCATGATCACCCACCAAGGACAACGTAAAATATAACAAAATTCGAAGAGCAGTTTCTGAAGGCTAAGCAGCTCTCTGCCTTTCTCCTAAAACTTGCAATTTTGAAGAGCAGAAGCCAATACAGTGTGACAGTTCTAAGCAGACCAGTAAGACGTGTAAGTCTCTTCAATGCACTGGCCTTAATGCTCATCAATCCCTCAGTGCAGAACTGGTTGGGTTCCCCAGCATAGCAAGACACCTGAAAACACGCTCAACCACATATATCAACATCAATCCAGTATCAGCAGAACAAAGCTTGGAAACAATTTTATTCACTTCAGTGGAACTCCAACGGTTTTGGTTGGTTTTGAAGAAACAGCATCCCTGGGAGATGGGCTTTATCCAAGCAGTTCTGCTGGACAAGCAACAATTTGTAAATACTGCCCTACCAAGCACCAGTTCTGTGTATTTGTCTATGACTAGTACAGGTTATCTCAGGGGCCTGGGGTACTACACAGATCCTAGATGAAGAGGGAGGAGAAAAACTCTCAAAGAAAGGACCTGTGAGAAGCTATTTTGCAGCGAGTCAAACAAAGGTTTGCCAATTCAAGCAAAAGGAGCTGCCAGATTTGAGTTACTCCTGAATTACCAAGGGACCTGGGGTAAGCAAATGCCCTTCCTCTGCAGGAGTGGCAGGGAGGGAATCACATCAGAACTTTGCCAGACAAAAATAAACTCCCATGAATTTGCCCTGGGGTTCCTAATTTCACACACTCCTTTGTTGATCACTGGACAGGGATCAGAGTACCTGAATCCTTCAAGCAAATATACTCACCTCATGTAGCTTTTCTTGGTCATTTAGTAGTGAAAGCCACTCCAGTTTTAAATGCAAGTGTCCGCTTGTTGTCTTACTTAAGGGAAACCACTAAACAGAGACAACAAAGGGTAACTCGAGAACCGTGAGGCAGAATAATTTTTATGTGTGTGGCAGTCTCTGAGACTTATGAACATTAGACTACATGAGTTGTACTCTGAGCATTTTAACTTGCACTTTTGACACATAAATTGTAGCACATCCATCTACTTACAAATACAAGCCAGAAAAAAATGGAAATAAGATACCCATATACAGGCAAACTGCATGGATATTTCCAACCAGCAGCAGCACAAGACAGGCACCCTGACATTGTTTGCAGAGTGCTGGGTTGCAGGATGAACGACCATAAGATCAGATCATTTCTCCCCTCAGCAGACTGCTTCACCAAACCTTATCTGCAGCCTTGTACAAAATGTTTGGTACATATGGGACACAAGATACAAACACAAGATACCCCACTGCTGGCTCAGTGTAACTTCAGGGCTGTCTGGGGTTACCAGCTTGGCTGTAAAAATTATTGTAATGGCTACTTTATAAGTTTTCTGAGTGAAGGTATTTTCTTTTTGTGAAAAGACCACTGTGCAAGTGTGCAAGGTAGCTTTAAGCACACAGAAATACTGCAGTAGCAGAGGGGGAGCACAAATGAGCACATGTAAGCATACACCACCAACACACTTAGAAATAAGCTGTGATCTTTACCTCATCAACAGTTCTGTCATTCATTACATCCACTAGGCCTATAAGCAAGCTGAAAGGCAAAAAGCAAACATTTCAGTGTATACTGAGGCATATAGCGTACTGCTGTTGGGGAGAAAAGAAACCACCACCAAAAAAGCCCACACTCAAGTCTGCTCCACACAACAACTTCTCCACATTGCCTGTGTGGAGGAATGCACCGGAATGCACTTACACTTCAGAAATCTCTCCCTTGAAATATTTAAATCTCAAGTCATGTGGCAACCATCACTTCTAATGGCTTCGCAGGATTCCCTGTAGGAGCATGGGCCACTCTCTACCTTGCTCAAAGTTAGTTGCACTACAAACTAATAACTTGGTATCAATATCTGGGCAAAGGGAATGGCTTCCAACAATATTAAATTGCCAATATAAATAATCCAGGTGTCCCATAGCAGCGGTTACTGGACCCCGAGCAAAGATCATGCTAATTTACCTGCCCATGAAGTCATCTTTATCTGGATCTTCATCATACAAGTCCACTTCTAAGTCCTGACCAGGCACTTCATGAACAACAAACTGGA